ATATTTTCCTTAAGAAATTTCTCAATCCTGGGTGGCTCTTTTCCTGGCAGGCACTTGGGGACAGTAAGCTCTCAGTTTGGGTTTCAAACACAGTGGTGCCTATAGGCCTTGGTTGTAGCTCTACCTTCACATCATTTACAAATTGAGAGGAGAGAAGTCAGCTTGTCTCATCTGCCGGAGGTGACTCAGTTCACAAAAGTGCAATTTTTGATGCTTCAGTATAGAAACAAATACCCATGTTTCAGGAATATGCTATGCTAAGGAGCCTGTTTTCTGTGACCCTACTCAGAAGGATCAGATTGTACTTCCCATCCATAAGGAGATACATGCTTTTCTGTATGTGCAGTTACTTGTGTTGTAGGAGTTACTGACTGCTAAATCACTGCTGTGTAACAAGCAACTGGAAAGCCTCACTGAGTGGCAAGTATGCATTGCTCACTCATCTGGGGAATAACAAATATGTGCTGGCCTTGGCTGGCTCTCTCACAGGCTGAGTGTTAACGGCCTATCCTCTAGCTCACTGAGGTGGTCTCTGAGAAGATAGTGCACTTCAGCACTCCCCCTGTGTCCATTTTCCATCCAGGACCAGCATGGATTCCTCATGGCAGATGCAAAAGAGACCAATCATCTTGTGACTCCTCATTGTCACATGTACCACTTATCTGATAAAGCAGATCATAGGATTGATCCAAAGTTAAGAGATGGGCAGATGACACCTCTGTAATGAGGCTCAGCTAGGAAGGGACAGACAGGGCTGCCAACAGACTATTTGTCATAATTTTCTCAGCAACATCCTTAAGAAGTCTTCATAGCCACGACTTTTGGACATTCCTGTAAAAGGGTTTTCTTTTTTAAAACATATTTTTATTGAATGTTTGTGCATTTCATATAATAGTTCTTAATCAAATTTAGAACCCCTCCCATCCATGTCCCCCCATACCTCCCTTCCACTGGACCTCAAGGATTCTGTCATATGTGTTAAGTCCTACACAGTCAAGCATTTGTACCCATATGTCCTTTGGTGTATGTGTTTTCTTATGTAGTGTTTAAAACATAGCAGAACATGGATAGCTAAAACATTGCTCTATGCTCTGCAAGTTCTCTACATGTCTCTGTAAGTGCTTGCTAAGGAAAGGTGCTTTCTCTGAAATATTTGGCTTCAGTGCTCAATCTTAGCATATGAGTGCCTAGACCTGGAAAAATGGTGGTTGCCTCTGTCATCCACAGCATCTGGCTTCTGGAAAGCCAGGAGTAAAGATGAGTGAGAATTGGTATAGAGCAGTTACAAAGGGCTAGCGATTACCTGGAACACAACAGCCAGCATGTGGCTCACCTCAGCCTTAGATTCAAGTATTGCCCAGAGTTCTAGAACTATCTGACTCCTGGGTGCAAGCCAGGAGTCATGCATAAGGAGTTAGTTACCTGTTCGTGTAACTAGGTTGAGAGCAGGGAGTCAGGACTCTAAGGAGGTACATTTCATTGTGGCCCTTATTTCAACTTAAGCATCAGGAACTTGAAGCAGCTGGTCATATTCCATCTGCAGTCAGAAGAAAGCAATGCTGCTTGTGTGCATGCTGGTGTCCAGCTCACTCTCTCCTCTTCATTTAGTCCAGGACCCAACTCATGAAATAGTGCTGCCCTTTCAGGGCAGGTCTACACCCTTCATAACCCAGTTAAGAAAATCCCTCACAGAAATGCTCAGAGGCCCATCACCCAAGTGGTTCTAGGTTTTTTCAAGTTGATGATGAACAGTAATCATCACACTCACCAGTCGTATTAGATTCCATTTGGTTGACTCCATTATTCCTTAAAACTAGGAGTGTAGTTCTCAGACTACAGAGAGCTGAGGAACTAGACTGAGGTGTTGGTTACATTGTCCTCTCAGGACAACCACAAAAAGAAAAAGAGAAAAACTATCAGGATACATGTTCAAGCATTCACACCAATGAGCTGGATGCCACTGTAGCTTATCCAGGGAGGCAAGCTCTATGCACAAGGCCCAAGCCCTCAGCTCTGGAGTCAGAAACTTCTCCACCACTCTCATTTCTGCCAAGTGTCAATGGTGCAAGTTTCAGTCAGTTAGGTTACTCCCCAAACTGCTATAAGCTGAGTGAGAGGCTCTGCCATGCTGCCCAGCTTTGGCCTCTCTCATTTGCTCCTTCCCTGTCCTTGATTTTCTGTCTCCACAACCCCAAATAACTTCTTTATTCAAACCCTCACCTGTACTTTCTTTTTGCAACATCATCAGGCTCTTGATCTCACTCTCCAGGTTGATAGTGTTTTCTAAGTATTTCTTCCAAAGGAAGAATAGAGAACATGTTTTTACATTATTTTCCAAGTGAATAGATAAAACGACCCCATTTTATGGTCAGTATTACACCGAAAGAAGAACATCTGCACAAATTTTCTGTGGGAGACACAGTAGTTGGCAAGAAGGCTGTGCTCCTGCCACTCATGCTGGTTTCCCCATGCTGATCCAAGAATTTCTGTGCAGCCTCTACACCTGTCACAGTGAGGGCAAGGATGCTGTGCAGGGTGCCCCCTTGCAGTGTGGGCATGTGTGCATACTTGTGCATGGACTTGCGGATGGTTTAGGGGAATTAATAAGAAAACAAACAATAAAAGGTAGTAATCTCAGTTATTAACTCTGTTCAAGTGAATAGGCTGGAACTTTGGTCAAAAAAAATCATATGACATGCCAACATGAATGGAGGAAGTTTCACAAGGCTCCACCTCCAGATAAAAAGCTGCAGGCAATCACTGGCTGCTGGAGAGGGAAAATCAGTTGTCTCCAGGGAAGAGCTCCCTTATACATGTACATATGAGTGACACTAAACAGACTCAGGTTGTGTATGTATATGTATATAAGTAATAATTCTATAAGAAGAGGTCATGAATTTGAGTTAGCCTTGATGTGGGAAGAGTTGAGAGGGGAGGGAGGTGTGGCAATGATAGATGTATTCATGAATGAAATTCTCAAAAAAAATAAATTTAAAAAAATCATATGATCTAGAAAAATATTTCAAGGAGCTATGTGTTGGGTTTGGGTTATAGAATGTAATTCACTCTGGTTCCCAGGGTAACCAGAAGTGTTAGGACATTGGGACACACTGTTACATATTTGAAATGGGTCATATACCACACGACTGCCTATGCATTGATGCACTTTGCCTGGAAAATTGTCACAGTGACCCATCTGCCAGACGTTAGCATTTTCCCTCACTCCTCCTCCTATCCAGGGTGAGGTAGAACCATTCCTTACACCTTCTTAACACATGCTAACAGGAGGATATATTTCACTGTAGTGTTCCCTTAGCACCTATATTGAGGTGAAATGAGACAAATCTTTCAGAACAGGTGCATGCCTCGTGTTTTAAAGGTGTTTGTTTAAGTGTGGAAGAAACAGGGCTTGTTCACGGTGCCTGGCCTAAAACACCTCCAGGTTTGTCATGAATAGTCCTGTCAAAGCTATCCCAGGAAAGCTGTTTACTGGACTTCAAGAAAGATGGCCCCTGGAGGATTGCTGGAGACCTCAGGTGACTACAAAGATAGAAAAACAAACAAACAAACAAAAAAACCCACACATTTTGCTGCTTTTTTTGCCACCCACTGCTGAGTGGGCATGACCAGGACTTCCAGGTGTGCAAAGCTGCATGAGCTTTGGGGTATAGAATCCCAATGCATAGCTATCACAATCTCCGTTACCATCTCCTCTGCATTTTACCTACCTCCGTTAGACTGTCTCAGACTTTGCTCTCCAGTGTGATAATGGCTCAGAAACCTCTAAGCCATGACCCTTCAGGCTCACATCCCCTTTTCCCTTCATAGTATAGTCTGTTCCATGAGAGAAAATTCCCTTAGGTTGCTCCATCTTTCAGTTCAGACCACATCATAGTTCTCTGGCCAGCTAATAGTTACCAGCCCTTGATTCAGGTTCCACTCTATTCCAACCAGCTTCTACCATGTTGGGGAAGGGGTAAAACTCCAAAGAAGCATATTGTAAAACATGGTGACTTAATTGTTGGATTTCACAGAGAGGCTTTGAGGAGATTGCTTTACTTAAAAAGGACTGTAGACATAGTGGGAAATGGACTCATTTCTACACATGGTTTCCCAAGTATGGTTAGTTTACCATTGACTGGTAGAGGCTTAGATATTGTTGATCTTGATATAAATTGTTCCTCTGGACTTAGCTGGCCCCAAGGGAAGTTAACTCATGAAGTTTGATTCATAAGGAATAACAGAGAAGCCAAATATTTTCTTCAATAGCATGGCTGGTCACATAGTAGAAAATTCACAAGTGTTAGGATTCATCCCAGCCAAAAACTACAGCAAGAACATATGAAGCCAGACCTAGAGTTCCAAAGTAGAGCCAGAGGACCTGTAGCCAGTCAACATTTCACATGGAAAATAAAGAGGTGGATCTTAGTGTAGTCAGTCAGTTTGTTCCACATGTAAGTTCTATTGTACTGTGGAGGTTAGAGAATCAGCAGACAAGGAAACAAAACAGCAACTGAAGGTAAGAACAGGTCTAGAAAGCTGATGATCCAAAGTCAACAAGGCTCAACAAAATAATTGTAAAGGACTTAGCATTTGATTTTGGCACAGTGTTTCTCACCACAAAATAGGGAAGTATGTGAAATAATGAATGCTTAGGTTAGCACCTCAACTTAACCATTCTATAATGTGTGCATACTTCTCAACATTATATTGCATGCTATTAATATATATACATTTTGTCCATTAAAATATTTAAAGGAAGTGAAATACATTTTCACATTGTTTCCTTGATAAAGCTGATCTGTAGTGTATTTAAATAGTATGTTCAAAGAGTTCCTTACTCATTTAAAGGAGTTCTCAGTGTATGTTGAGAAAGACGTTTAGTCAGGTGTTCTTTGGAGAAGTGTTTTTTGGGTATAGCTTGTGTCTATATAGAAGCAGGTTACCTGTTACGTTCCTCAGCACATTTCTAATGCTGCCCTTTACTCCATGTGTTTCAGAATCACCACAACAGCAGCATGCATGATGGATCTCAGAAGATATCCTCTGGACGAGCAGAACTGCACGTTGGAAATTGAAAGCTGTGTGTATCTGTGTCTGGCTTCCTTTTTCTTGTTCTTTGCATTTCAGGTCTTTTGGTTATAAGTTAGCATCTTTTTTAAGGCATAGACAATATTCTTGGTATACTTTTTAAATTATCTTAAAAATTAGGCTGTGGAGGCAACTCAGTGTAGGATGTTTGCCTACTATGCACAAGGCCCTGGGATCTATCCCCAGCATACAAAACAAAACAAAAAAAAATAGAGGATTACCTCTTTACAGATTTCCCTACCATAACAGAGACAGACAGACACAAAAAGAGGAAGAAACAGCAAGAGAAAAGCAGAAAAACAGGAGTGGGGAGAGAGGGAGGCAGGGAGGGAGGAAGAGAGAATCAGTATAAAGGAGTTCTTAATTCTAATCTGATTAGAGAGTCTGTTTGCTGTGCTGAAATTGGAGAAAACAAATGTTCCCCATCTCAGTCCATTCAGCAAGAAGAGAGCAAACACTGCGATGCAATTTTCTTACAATCTGCTTCATCACGCATGAGTGGCTGGACTGCTGGGTCCCTGGGCAGTCAGAGTGAAACTCATTTCCCATCAAAATCGCAGCCTTGCCATGTGGGCCATTTCTGCATCTTGGCAATTTTCTTCAATTTGAGGAGTATTCAGAGGCTTTATTGATAATTCAGTGTTGAGTACCACTATGGGAGGGAAGAAGATGCATCTGGAGCATCTAACAAGCAGATGTGCCTCCTGCCACCTGAACTGTACCTCCTGTTGATCCTGGCCTGATGCAGACTGCTTTATTATGAGCCTCAGGCAGTTCTTACTGAGAGTTTGCTGGTTAAGTAGGTTGACTTTGCAGTGTCACTGGTAGCAGTTGTGGCAAGGAGGGTGTATTGTACTCAAGCTGGTTGAAGGACTGCACAGTGGGAGGCTGCAGCCAGCTATACTTTGCCTCTCACTTCCACACTGCATCACGAGAAGGCCTTCTCAAAGTTCTGGTTTCAGATGAGGGACATAAAATCACACAGAGTGAGGCATAATTGAAGCCTCTGGGGACTCCTGCCCTGGGTCTCAGAAGGCTCAGAAGAAAGATGATGATTCCCAAAGTTCCTAGTGTATTAGTAAGTGTCCTAGGAAGTTAAATGATTCTGTTAAGCCAGAGGCCACAGCTCTGATGAGATAAAGGAAGTTTTAAAATGCAAATGTGAGCTTTTTATGAAGGAAGCAGTTCTGTTCAACTGCATGGACATAGAACATGATTTTTTCATGTAACTGTTGTTGCTATAGGGCCTGCGCTTTAGAAGGTGGTGAACTTAAGAGTTTCCCTCAGTAAGTGAGGTTCTTCTATGCAGAGTTCCACAGTGAAAACAATAGGAGAAGAAAAGGATCCTTTTCTGTTGGCCTCATCTCTGTACTAGGATTGGAGAAATGGTAGCTTTATTTCCCACCTAGCAACAAATTCATTGATCCATTAAATGATCCAGCAAACATGTTGGGACTTAAACCTGTGTTGGTACTGTGTTTTAGTTTTGATTTTGGCTCTGATGCTTTGCATTCAACATAGGGCCTCGACCATGTGAAACAAGCACTCTATCACAGAGCCACACGCTCAGACCTTATGCAGGTCTTTTGTAAGCACAAGGATATACAGGCATAATATAAAGCAAACAAATAGGGATAGATACTTTAAAGAACAAAGGATTGTGGATGATCATGGGGTTGTTCAGGAAGTAGGATCTGATGGAAGGCTTCTACAGAAGGCTATTGTAAGTCAGGATGTGAATGTGGAGAAGAATGAACCATGTGAACATGTGGCATAGGCTCCTGAGGAGGGCACAGTGGGCTGCTCTTAGCAATAAGAAGAGGCCTGTACACCTGAGCTGATCGAGGAAAGAGGAAAGGCACACTGAAGCCAGTACTCTATGTTTATGAGGCCATTGTCAGAAGTTTTGGCTTGTTTTGTCCATTGTATTGGGAAGCAGTTAAGGACTGTAGGCAAAGTATTTTATCAGAGACAAATTGGCTAGGTCAGAATGAAACATAAGAAAGCCAGAAGCAGGGGTCTAGATAATGCTATGCTGTGATCTGCTCTGAGGGACTGCAGAGTGGTCTAGGGACATGATGTCCACTGCAGCAGCCATCCCTGATGCCCTGGGCTATGTATACATCAAATATATTTTTGTCATATATGCTCAAATCCAAAATCCCTTTATACTGAAATAAGAATTTTAATCATATTTATGTTTTTTTGATCTTATTATAAAATTTAAACTAGACATTGTGATCTATAATTGTAGCATTTGGTATACAGGAGCAAGAGGATCTAGGTCAGCCTGTCCTATATAGTGAGACTTTGTCTCAGGAAAATAAACAAA